ACACTTTAGAAGGAACCTTGTCTCAGACCAAAGAGAAGGAAAGGAACAGAACTTCCAAAGGTGATATGGGGAAAAAATAGCTAATCCATCCAGATAACCATAATCTGCCTCACTTTTTCCATCTCTGAGTTAGAAAAACTATTCCAGCTATTCAACACTTCACCCACAAAGCGGATAACACTTTTACTATCAAAATCACATTCACTTCTTGCTTAAATGACTCTTGAATTGCAACATACTGCCTTCCAGACCTATCAATGTGGTTGGTATGAAGAAACCTTGGGGCCAACTATATTCCCCTTGGCACCTGCCAGAATTATCCCTACACTGACAGTTTTCAAAGCCAAATTCTCATGGACTTTTCAAATAATTCACATCTCAAAGTATAACATAATGACACATCATCTATATAAAGTCAATTTTGGTTTTTTCCTTATTCAGAAAGCATTGTTATAATGTTTCTTAACCGATAGGGCAAAAAATTATTTCTGGGGACCTCAGAAACTAAAAAATGATAAATGGATTCATAGGAAGCTTTCATCAACTTTTATAAACTTACATTAATTTCAGGGTTGAGACTAAACATGAGAAATTTCAGACCAAGAGGTAATTTCTTGATACAGATATTTGACTGAAATAGGGATTTGGAAATGGAAGTGTCATTTCAATCTTAAATACAGTTTCTCTCCCACTGCTCTTATAATGTGTGTGTAGGTTGTAACAGAGACAGAACATTAATTTTTCTATGTTTCTGTGTCATAAAGACAAATCCCTACTTTAAGAGATAACACAGGCTTCTCTCACATGTATTCCATTTTTTTTCATATATATCTTGAAACAGATTCTTATCTTGGTGGGTTTTTCTTTTATATTTTAATGCTGAGCAGTGTAACATGAAATGAAGATTCCAGAACAATCCATTACATATAATAAAATGTATTATATTATCTTTGTCTCTTTTGTGCTTTTTGGTCTTTTCTATTTTGATCATCATTAGACTTTAATTGTAAGGGAACTTTTCCATAATGGCATGCTGATATAATGATGTGTTCATTTTTATTAGCTATCCAGCTGAATAAAACTTGCAATATTTTTCACTTAGATATTTCTTTCTGATATCTTCCCCCATCCTCTAGCTTTCCATTTAGTGAAAATGCTTGCAAAACAATGTTTAAAGAGTTGAGCAGATTGGGTAGATACCATATTTTATAATGAAAACCTGAACTGCATAAAAATGTTGGGGGGGTTTGAGCTCCAGAGTAAATAATGTTTTAAATCACAGTTGGTATGTGAACCAAGATGGGTTATCTGTGCCTTCACTTGAGAGAGCACCAATTATTTATTTCCAGAGTTTTTAAGGAATGAGCTTTGAAGTTACAACAGAAAAAAAGGAAGAACTATGAAAAAAAAAAAATCCATAACCATTTTTAAGTATGAATTGCACAAAATTTAACCCTAAAATAGACATGCTGAACTGATATGAAACTTACGCATTCAGGTAAAGAGCAGCAGTTTTGAGAATGGGTGCGTTTCTGCTTCCTCCCAAGGGAAGTCTATCCTTAAATTTGGCAATAATGTAAAAAGACTTACAAGGCTCAAGTAACTGCCAGGAATTGTGTAAGCAAGTGCACGTACTTAATCTACTATCTAGAACAGGCAAGTCAGAGTTTTAGCATTCTCTGGCTTCAGGTTCTCAAACTAGTTTTATTCCTTTTACAAACAGCTTTGAAACCACAATAAACAAAACAACAAACCTCCAGTAAATGAAACAAATAAACCAAAACCCCTTTGATCTCCAAACACCCAGAGGAACAATTTTAGCTCTTGACTCCACTTTCTCCTGGAGTTTTCTTTGTGGCTTCCACCCTCAATTAGCAAGGCATTATTTCCAGCTGTCCCCACCCTCCCCACCAGACAAGGCTACTACAGGGGTGGGCAAATATTTCAGGTGGAGGGCCACTTACTGAGTTTTGGCAAGCCATCTAGGGCCACATGACAGGTAGCCAGGGGCAGATAAATATTAATTTTCTAATTTTTTTAGAGGCCCCTCAGGCTGGATAGAATGGCCTGGTGAGCCACATCTGGCCCGTGGGATGCATTTTGCACCCCACACCCCCACCCCAGGCTACTATTTGCCTGTGAGTGGTTTTCCAAACCTTCAATGTGGTGAGCACCTACTTACAGAGTGTCCATGCTCCATTGCGAAGACAAGTCCATGTCTGGAAACATGTTTTCAGTCTCATACCCAGCAACAGTATCCAAGAAACTTACCAGATGCATTTTTATTACAGCAGACAATTGGTTTAATTATGTCACCTCAAAAGTTATGCTACTATTTACATGCTAGTAGTATATGGCTCTCCGCCCTTCAATGCAAATGTGACAGGTGGGCGGGACCGGAAGTCCCACCCCCTTCGCTCCGCCCCTTCCCCCTTTTATGGTGTGTGACGTCACCAACCACACCCCCGGTCACGCGGTGCATGACATCAGCAGCTCCGCCCCCAGCCCCGGTCACGTGGTGCATGACATCAGCAACTCCGCCCCTGACCCCGGACACATGGTGCGTGACATCAGCAACTCCGCCCCTGACCCCAATCACGTGGTGTGTGACACCAACACCACATGGTTCATGACATCAGAAGGACAACCCAGGCAGACCCTCAAAGCCCAACCCTTCATGCTGCAAGATCCGCCCTAGATCACATGGTGCTGTTATGGCCTATCAGGTCCCTGACCACTCTAACCCTCCTACGCCGGAGCACAGGCGTGGCCTATGGGGTGGTAGGGTGGTGATGTGACCCCTCTAACAACCCGCCCCAATACCCCTAACCAATTGGCAGGGGTTTCAGAGGCCTCAGACCTCCCAAGAACAATCCTGAACCAATTGGAATGAGTACAGTGGGGGTGGGGTTTAGGTGGTAAACCCACTAGGTCTATCTGCTTTCCCAAACGACCCCTCTGTTTATCTGAGACCGTGCTAAGGCAAGCAAAGGCAGATATGGATTCTTTCACAATGCCTGTAGGCTCACTCACTACACCACCAAGACGGCCTTATAGAAAGCGTTACCGTAGAAATAGTTTTGAGGAGGAGACCCGGCTCCTTGCCCAAAGACTCTTTGAGATGCCTGACCCTGTTGAGGAAGAGCCTGTGAACAGGCAATTGGAGGAGACCCAGGACCTCGAAGCAGACGTTGAGACTTTGGAAGATGGTATCTTTGTGCCTGAGCCTGCGTGCGAAGTAGAGGTCACTGCAGAGGAGAGACCGGTAAGAGACTTGGAGCATGAATGTGGGGGTCTCTGGGTTGTGATGGTAGTGGTGGGGGTTCACTTCATGGCACGTGT